ACGGGAGAGGAGGGGACAGAATGGGACTCCAGAGGAGGGGACTTGAGGGGTTGGGATGGGACTGGAGGGAACTGGACAGGAGAGCAGGTGGCCCTCACTGGCCCGCCATCAGATGACACCGAGAGAAGAGAAACCGGAGAGCAGCAGCAGGGAAAAGTGGGTCAGTGGCAGAGAGAGGTAGAATTCCCCTGACCTCGAGGAGGACAAATCGGATACAGCCCCTGCTCCTCCTGCTCTCAGCGGACACCCAACACGTGCAGCGCAGTGCCTTCGGATGCTGGCAGCTCCACCTGCCAGCCAGACAGCCACACGGACTCCAACACAGAGACCCTGTGGACCTCCGCTCTCACCGCGGACAGGCGCACACATCTCCGAGCTGGTTGCCATGGACACACACACAAAAATACACATGCTGCAAGCATACAGTTACAAAGGCAAGGTGGAACTGGACAGCCGGTTGTTATAGATACAGTCACGCGCAGGCACGAACCGAACATTCTGGTTTGGCCACTACACGTAACAAACACACTTACTGTACAACTGCCAGCTTCACACACACACACGCACAGTAGATGATCACTACGGCAAGCCTGAACTCTGAGCTCGGATCACATGCGCAGCCAGGGCTTTGACACATTCCAGACACGGCCGGTGGCTTGACGTCAGACTGAGTGCTTTTTATTCACAGACACAGGGGATTTCATTCGTGAGGCAGGGGCCACAGAGCAGACAAGTGACCCTCGGCTGCCCATCTCCCCGGAGAGCCAACTCCTCATCATCTGGGTGTCAGGCTAATGGAATGGAGCAGCAGCCTTGCTTTTGCCCCTCCTGGGATCGCAGCTCCTCTTGGCTAACGGAGCCTGGAGCGGGAGCAGAGCCTGGCTGCAGGCAGGAGCCGAAGACGTGGGCAAGGGGTCTGTTCGCTGCTCGCCCCTCCTCCTCTGGGCAGGCTGGAGGAGCCCGAATGACAGCTGCTCTCCATCCTAGAGGGGAGATCGGCACTGGACTGCACAAAGAGTGACCTTGGATGACAAACTAGAGCGCTATATGGGGAACAAATTAATCTAGAGAGCAGGAGGAATGACCCGACACACGAGAGTGCACAGCAGCTGGATCCAGTTCCATTATTACGAGTTGCTCTGACAAAGTACATGCCGGATCCAAACTCGGTATCTGTGTTAGCTACCTTATTTTGAGCATGCGGGCACCGACGGACACGTGCGGCAGAGATTAGGGGACACACTGCTTTATCAGCACAGTCCCACACACACTGCGGAAGGACTGTCCAAAGGTCCTTCACTATCCTAGTCTCAAGGTTAAGACCTCCACTTCAGGATTTCCACTGAAGAAGAGCCTATCATGCTTTCTGTCAAGAAGGAAAGCAAAATAAGATAAATACCTAGGAACGTAAGCACTTCCCAGACAGAATCATCCATTTCTTTTTAGAAAAAGTCACCCGAATTCACTTATTCTGAGTTTTATCAAATATTAAAACAGCCATTTAGTTTAACTTATAATGTATTCAACTGGCCTGTTGTGTGAATAATTGAAATGCACTGCAGGAGCTACAGCAGGTAGTTCATTTTAAGCTTTCTGCCTTATTCACAAACTAACACAAAGCAACACTCCTTTACTTGTCCTGAATTCAAATGCAGACGCATTTATAGACATGCACTAGACACTGCACACTCATGGGAGACAAGGGTCCTGTACAACTCTATGAATTGGCTTCATTACTCTGCTCTCCTCCCCACTGATAGCTGATGTGTGGGGAGCGTTCTGGCGCACTATGGCTGCCGTCGCATCATCCAGGTGGATGCTGCACATTGGTGGTGGTGGAGGGGAGTCCCCATTACCTGTAAAGTGCTTTGAGTGGAGTGTCCAGAAAAGCGCTATATAAGTGTAAGCAATTATTATAATTATTATTATTACATAGGAGTCCAGTTCTTCATTGCTCTACTCCAGTGATGGACTTGTCAAACCTGATAGCAAAGGCAGAGACACTGAAAGCACAAGCTGCAATGGTTCATGACTTGAAACGAACATCTGGTTTTCTTCTGTCCACACAAGGTACTTTGCTATCTCAAAGTACAGCACCAGCAGTGTGTTACTGTACCAGTACAACAAAATAAATCATACAGAATTCAATACAGAACACCTGAGAACTCTCATCACTGGGTGTAATGTATAGACAAGGTGCCAAGTTACGACATACAAAGCTGCCAGGTGTCTTCTTGTTAGATGTTACCATATGCCACACTTCTGCACTATGTTCATAAGGAAACCTCAGTTTTTGTTAACCTGCATCTCTGTTCTCAACAATCGCAAGAATTTGCAAATCTATTTGCAGAACAAGAGAGAACTGGTTCACACCCCTAGCAACGGTACATTATGAACAGAAACCCTGCCTAACACCCCTGTGTTTACTAAGGGATTACGAGCCACAAAACCATGCATTTTATTCATTCATGTTGCTTATCAGAGACCTGAATAACTGAGTGAAAAGCATACATGCCTTGCTTTAAAATATTAACTTGAAAACTATAGAACACCTTCAAAGCTTACAGATTAGCCACAATAAAACTCTGAGCAGTATTATTTACCAGTGTACCTCCCTGAAACTCCCTGGCTTGTGTAACCCTGTATATAAAGTACCTCAAGGGTATTTGAAGTGTTTTATATCTCCTGAATTATTCTTAGCATGAGAATGACTTCAGCATCCCTCCAGTAGCAAAAAACAGGCTTTTCTTCCTGTTGGTGTCAGAACAGCCGGTGTCATCATGACTCAGTAGAGTGCCGTGCACGCGTGACTCACAGCAGAAGACGTACACAGGACCCTTTCGGAGCCAAGGTCACTGGCAGGGAGCTAAAACCCAGAGAATTCAAAGACCGAGCAGGTGCTTTACAAGATCAAAACAGCAGCACGACACATCCTGCTGCTCTAACCAGAAATCAATAAGTGGCACAAGACCACAAAGTGCAGTTAAGTCATGCACAGCAATCCAGCAGCCAAGGATATCAAAGACCTGCAGCTGCCTCTTCATCCAGAGGTTACTACAGTGATGCTTTAAGTCTGTTGAGCAGCCTAAAGCCTCATCAATTCAATCCAATCATCCTTTAAGCCCCACCAAGGCAGAAAGAGCAGAGCTCATTACCCTTCTCAATCTGCATCTTGCCAAGATCGGCAGATCCTGTCGCACTCTTCTGTACCGAGACAGACTACTCAGAGCCTCAACGGGGAGGGGGGACTCCCTTCGGTCTCGGGAATGTGTCCGAGACAATGGCACAGAATCCCTAGACCCACGCTGACAAAAGAGGACTCAGGCACAGAGCGAAGGGCTTCTCGTCACCTTCCAGGAGAGACAGACAAATTGGACAACAGAGGGTCTCTCACTGGAAAGGAGCACCGTTCTCGTCCCGTGCTGCCCATGCAGGGGTCTCCCGCTGACCTTCACTGCCCAGCCAGGGACTCCCCACAAGGACAAACAAAATCATAATCAAGGATATCAAGTCAGCAATACAAACAGGCCTTTGGCATAAGCCCTGAGCAAATATCAACCTGTCAGAGCGCAGGCAGATCGTGTGTTGCCCTTATGAGTCACCTTCAGGTTCATCAAAGACAATCATCCTTGGCCTGCGTTTACTGACCTGCACCTTACTGTAACTGTGCCATTCACCTTTCACCCCTGGCGCTGCCCGCCGGGCAAGCTGAGCTATAATGACCTGTTGTGCTGCAAGTGCCTCCTGCTCAGGCCGTCAGGCTTGGGCTGCTCCACGATACGCCACTAAACCTTTCGACTGGTCTCTGTTACACGCTCGGCTCCAGCCCACAGAAAGTGCCCCTCTCCGCTGAGGGTCAGTGGACAGAAAACTCCAGCCGGCCTTCCAAACCCTCATCGAGATCAAAATGCATTACTAGATTAACTTATAAACCGAGTCACCCCCCCACAACAAGAGTAATTAATGAGGTTCCACAGCAGCGTGCTTAAGATGATACTTAGCAGCAGACAAACTGCCTCAGCCTATGATTTTTATCAGTCTAATAGCATTCGGAATTAAACTGATTTCTTTTTTTTTTTTAATTGCAAGGATGACAAAGGCCTCTCCTGAATCTTCATTTGCAGAAGGGCCCCGGAAAACTGTGAACTATGTGTGAACTACCCGTGGAGCCAGCTCCTTCGACTGCAACACAACTTTGACTTTGTCAGCTTCCACGCGGCGCCGGGCCCTGTCCCAGGATGGGATGACCCCGCTAATCAGTGGCTCGGGAGTGGCATGAAGACGCGTGCTCCTCGGGCACGGACCTGCCACATCACGCCAGTGTCAGCCCCTCCCTCATACCAGGAGCTGCAGGCTTGGTGACAAGAGCAGCTCCGTCACCCTGCAGGTCACCACTGGCAGCCCACTGGAGCCCTGCAGGGTGAGCCTGGCCAGTACCTGGAGGGGAGACTCCTGGGAAAGCTAAGGCTGCTCCTGGAAGAGGTGTTAGTGGCCCAGTAGGGGGCGCTCACCCTGCAATCTGTGTGGGTCCCAATGCCCCAGTATAGTGACGGGGACACTATACTGTAAAAAAGGGGCCGGCCTTCAGATGAGATCTAAAACCAAGGTCCTGACTCTCTGTTCATTAAAAATCCCAGGGTGTTTCTTGAAAAGAGCAGGGGTGTTACCAATCATGGCCTCCTAATAATCCCCATCTCTGAACTGGCTTCATCACTCTGCTCTCCTCCCCACTGAGAGCTGGTGTGTGGGGAGCGTACTGGCGCACTATGGCTGCCGTCGCATCATCCAGGTGGGGCTGCACATTAGTGGTGGTGGAGGGGATCCCCATTACCTGTAAAGCGCTTTGAGTGGAGTGTCCAGAAAAGCGCTATATACTGCACTATATAAGTGTAAAGAAGTATAATTTCTTATTATTATAAGAACCCCAGGCTGGCTAGAGAGAAGACGCCAGCTGCTTCACGGTTCAGATCTCCCAACACTCAGTCGTGCAGATCTCGAGTTTTTCAATCCTCTCTCAGACAACAGACACAGCTGAAGCTGGGGCCTGGTTTTTCAATCTCCACTTTTCACAAGACGTGGATAGTCAACACCCCAATGCCTTTATCTCTCCTGGCTCTTTCTGGTACCTATCCCCATGTCTCTTAGAATACACTTTTACAGCTGCAGGAGCAGCCTAGATTCACACCTGAACACCTGCATTAGCATCTAGACACTGATCGGCTGAAATACGTCCTATTATACCTTTGCCGAAAACACTGAACTGTCTTTATACTCTCAGCAAACAAAACATCCTTTGCGGACTGCGGAGCACAGGAAACTCGTATTTGTGTTTAGTCTCCAGCAAACCACATATGGGGATACGTTAAACAAATGAAACATTTCAATAATCTCAGCAACCTGGCAGATCAATTCGGTGCGTCTCGTCAGCCTGGGCCAGCAGCTGAAAACAGCGCGGCGCTCCAACTGTGGGCACTGGGTCAGGCGGTGCAGTAGAGCAGGCTCTGTCTGAAACCGCTGGTGGTCCTGGTTCCGAACCCGTACGCCCGTTTTCCATTTTCTGTGCATTTTCAAAATTATAGCGCTAGAAATGCACGGTCACCCGGCGCCACTGGAGTTTCAGCTCGACTACATGGGCTGCTGCTCCGTTTCGGAGCCGATTTCTCATCTGCCTGCACGGCCCTCGCTCTGAGCTGCCTTACCGGGCGAGTAGAGCTGCGCCAGTTGCCGGGCTCCGGCGTGCTGCGGCCCCCAGCGAGGGGCTCGGCTGCTGCGGGCGGCCGCTCCGTGCTCGTTGCCGTTCGGATCCTCCTCCGCCATCGACCGCTGCTTGATCTCCGTCTCCGTCAGCTGAGCCGCCGCCATTCCCCGCGCTGCGCTCTCGGCTTCCGCTACAGTGCGGGAAGAGCAGAGCCAGTTGTGGGGGTTTCTTGCGGGAAAGGATGTAGTCTGCTCCTCAGCACCAGCTGATACAGGCTAACAGGTCGAGAGCGTTACTACTGCACGCCACCCAGGTGCACCCGGAAATACACCGCCGGCACGCCGAGTCCCGGCACCTTCCCCCCGGCCAGCGCTAAGGCTTTTGTTCCGCGAAATGCACATTAGAAAGTCAATAAAAACAATTGCATAATGAACCTGAACCACCCTTCTTCTTTTAGCTCTTAAAGTTAAACATGCACTCACAACGGCCCGCCGCCGCTGAGAGCTGTAATTAACCCAAACTTTTCTGTCTGCGGCTTTTGACAGCTGACAGAGCTTTTTTAAAGGGAAGGTCTCTAGCTTCTGGTCTGGCTGATCTTTTTTTTTAACTTGATTTCACCGAGCAAAATACGGGGGGCGTTGCTTTTCTGAAAATGTACTTAAGAACAACTCACATCCTCCGGGATTTAATCATCATCATAATAATAATAATAATAAAAAAAGTAAAGTTTATTACCTTCCATGTGGGCGCCTTGGCGGTCTCTGTGACTCCCAGACTGTACTACGGTGCGGAAAATACCGAGGATCCCTAGACGTGCGCCGCAGGACCAGCGGAGCTGCTGGAGTCTGAGCCGGGCTGGGCTGGGCCGGGACGGGACGGGACGGGACGGGACGGGCCGGGGAGGCGGGGGGACAGACCTGCGAGCCGTCACGATACAGTCAGCTGCTCGCTGTTTCGTACTTCCTGGCACCCCGAGGTGCTGCCGACCTGCACGCACGACAGGGCGGAAACCGAAACCGCAGCGAAAGATCTTTTGCCAAGTTTTGCTGTCGAAGCCCTTATTAAAAAAACTGCTCCGAGTTAGCAGCGTTTCGACTTCTGTCTTCATCGTGGGAGAACCGTTTTTCCTCCCTGATTTCTAACCATGTGTAGGGTGGATCAAGGCAGTCATAATTTTAAGTACCAAAATATAGGAGGCTTTTTACACTACTCACTTAATCTTTTATATAAATAATTAAAACATCCAACTATAGTTGCTGTGGTGCTTGTTATAAACACGTGTAAGGTTTTTACGTGTGATAAATACCGGACCCGAGGTTCATGGCGGTATCTGACTGAAGCACAGGACGAACGGAGACAATGGATTGAATAATAAAGTAATCAAGAGGTTGCAGAAAGCACAGTAAGTTTGGACATGAAGTAGGATTTAATTTTTCTGCTGCCACCTACCGGCTTAAATGGTGTTTTGACGCTCCCGAAGACCTGGCTAAGCGCCGTCAACAGAGAGGCTCCAGTCCTGTAGATCTCCTGAAACCCGGAACAATGGATCAGTGATCACTGAAAACGGGTGATTTGTTGAATTATTTAGCCATCCTTCGGAACAAAATACACTTTTAGCAACAAGGACCAGATTACCCTTAATTAAACAAAAGCTGGAAGTATGGCTAAGGATACCAGGCATCCTGGTTTCTCATTTTTCTCCCCCCTTCCCTCTGGTAAGGGTTATATAGGAGCATAAAGGCAGGAGCTTCCAGATTCGGAGACAGTTTCTTCCCACAAACTGTCAGATTACTGAACTCTACCCCTACAGCTGGCTCACACTGATGTTTTTTTCCTCTCACTCATGGTCTGACTTTATTAAAGCTCTATGTCATTTAACTTGCTGCTGCTGCTGTTCTGTGTTTATGTTTTTGGTGATTCCTTTAATGTCTTTGTTTTGGAATCAGGCATTTGACACTTGTGCAAATGACAAGTAAACCGAACTGAACAAGTTACTGATCCCATTTTCTGGATCGTTTAAAGAAACAGTCTGCTTACTGTAAGGTGACCTACTATATAAGTCCAACTGGACTCCGGGGCTCTCCTGAAAAATGGTGGGAGAGTTTTGTACTGACTCTCCCACCATTCATGTCTGTTTTGTATATATTTTAAATATGTATTTTAGCCTTCCTGCTTAGAGGAACGACCACAGTCTTGTTACAGTTTGTAGGACCTTGTGGATCATGATTTTGGTCCTTGGGAGGAGCATACCTTGCAGGGAATGTGTTGAGTGACATCTGGAAGAAAATAGATGATTTAGGTAAATGTTTGTAAATGTTTGTTCTTTAAATTGAATTACTGTCACCATACTGATGGCTGTAATTAATAATTTCTTACACTTCAGTAGCACTTTTCTGGACACTCCACTCAAAGCGCTTTACAGATAATGGAGATCCCCTCCACCACCACCAATGTGCAGCCCCACCTGGATGATGTGATGGCAGCCAGAGTGTGCCAGTCCGCCCCCCACCACCAGCTATCAGTGGGGAGGAGAGCAGAGTAATGAAGCCAATTCATAGATGGGGATTATTAGGAGGCCATGATTGGTAAAGGCCAGGACACCGAGGTAACACCCCTACTCGTTTCATGAAACGCCCCGAGATTTTTTAATGACCACAGAGAGTCAGGACCTCAGTTTTACATCTCATCTGAAGGATGGCGCCCCTTTTTTACAGTATAGTGTCCCCGTCACTATACTGGGGCATTAGGACCCACACAGACCGCAGGGTGAGC